ACCCCGGTAAGTGCTCCTTAATTTGCCTTGAGCCGTTTTATTTCTTTGCCATATTTTTCTCCCCTAACGGCTCAAGTAGAATTCCATCTCGGGACACTGGCAAATAGTAGATTTGGAATAAAGAGCGCATCATCCAAGGACTGCCACGTGCCGCATCGGCCATCTCATTTTGGTTGTGGGAAGCCGCACATACAGTCCACCAAGAAAATCGAATTAGCATACCTGGAAATGGAACCCGAGACCCCAATCACCGCATCATTTTTGGTCTTTAGCGCGACCATGTCTTAAGTAACTTAAAAAAATGAAGCATTTGTTTATTATATTATAAAGACAGACTTACGAAAACACTTTCTAGTTTTATCATATCTAAAGTATTTAACCTATGACATCAAAATATATGAAAGAGCAAAGAAATTATCTAAAGAAAACTTTAAGGATAATATTATTTATAGGTGTGTGACATGTTTCCACCAACTCACATGATGAACGACAGTCGATGCTGTTTTATTATGTATCCAGCCATGTTCTTTGTTGGTGAACGCGTTGAAACTATTAGGAAATATAAATATAAATTACCGCTTCGTAAATGGATCTACCATAGTTCTAATAAACAGGTTGTCAATGTACACAAACAAATCACGTGATAACGTTTTAAATGTGCACCTTCGACAGTATTTTAAAATGGCCGATGCTTTTTTAAATACGCTCTCGTTGATAACTTTATTCCATTTTGTGTAGTGATGTTTCCAGTAATATTATGATGGAAATAAAAATAGATTATTCAATATTTTACTTTACTACGAAAATAAATTTTAATTCCCTTTAAAGAAATTTTAATTGTTTACTTTGTAATTCAATTTTATGTTTTGATTTATTGATGGACTTTAAAATAAGGAAGTCCATAAATGCGTGATCACAGGTAGTTAAAAGAAAACACTTAAGTACATACAAATACAGTCAGTGATTAAATTGGCTGACTGCCCTTTACATCTGAACACAGAAAAATGCCAGCAACGCACCTGCAATTCTCCTGTTGTTGCAGTTACCCATCAATCCCAATAAAAATCCCACGCAGTCGCATGCGTCCGTCAAATCCCGAGCGGTCGCATTCGACCGCACCCACCCACACCACTTTAAACGATTAAAATTTATATTTAGGGACTACTTTTCTATGAAGAAATTTGACATTATAAAATTTAGACAAATTTTTCTATCCTGTGGTCTAAACAAAAGTCAGGTTTTACTTCATTACAAAAAAGATTTTATTGTATTTTGATAACAAAAAAAAAAACATACCTTTGGATGTCGATAGCGTGAAAACACAATTATTTCTATATATTACTCGAAATTATTTACGTAAAAATATAAATTATATTCACATAAAAACTTTCATTACAATTTTATAATAAAACATTACACTAAAACACTAATAAAACACTAGAAAACCAAAAATCCAAAAATCAACACAATAATATTTACACGAAAATGGCGTACGAAATGAACGTGAATTATAAACAAATTTTTATTCCACTAGAGGACAGAAAATTTTATATTGATTATAATTCATAGAAAAGTTATTATATGATATAAAGTACTGAGGGTGTGAGCGGTCTCATGCAACCGCTAGGAATTTGATGGAATAGCGCGGCGATCACATGAGACCACTACGTGATTGAGCGGTTAATAAGCGGCGGTAGTCAAGTACCATAAGGTGAGCCGCGTGCTGGTTTGCCTCCACTTATATAAAAAACAGCAGTTTATTTGTGGTGACCAAAATAGACTAAAGACACACTCTTAAGCAAACAGAATAGAAAAGGAGTCTACTCTCTAATATAAGAGAAGACGTTAAAACTGCTAATGAAACTTTTACCCAATTATTATTGAAACCAACAAAATAGTTAAAACAGCAATTTAAAAATTTGCAGTCGGGACTGCATAAAAAAACGCTTTCCCTCCTTTTTTGTAGTTTCAGATGTAATATATAAATATTATATCGCCTATGTCACTGCCACACTTTAAACAAAACTATCGACACCTCATATGCCTTAGTCTACGAAGCCATTTAGGCTACAGAGCGTTCCAAAGAATTAGGAATACATACATACATACTTCTTCCTTCCGGGGAAGTCGTGTAAAAAGTATGTGCCTATTAGTGAAACGTTTATTGGTTTCTTTTAATAAACCTTGTTTAACAATTGTTGGAATTTCTAACAATTAGGCCGAGGCTGATTGTCTTTTTATTGTTATATCAAACTTGTTAAATTGAATTGTTAGGAAAATAGTGATCGATGTAGAAAATATTTAGGACTTTGTCTTCAAATGCTATAATTCTAAGCTAATCTGCACACGCTATACTCCTTTCACTGAACACTACTACACGAGGTAGAGTTACGCTGCAGCTATGGTAACTAAAAAGGCGGCACTGAAAATTTCGGGAATCAAGGAAATGATACAACATTACTATTTAAAATGTATTTATTGCTTTTAGAAGTATTCTCCGCGAAATTTGACACATTTTTCCATACGATGGAACCAATCATTGAAGCAACCATTCCATTCGGAAGTTGGGGTCTCCAAAATGGCCGTTTTGTAGGCGTCCACAGCTTCTTCAGGTGATGAAAATCTCTGTCCATGCAATTAATTCTTTATTTTAGGGAAAGTACAGAAATAATTAGGACTTAGGTCGGGGCTATACGTCGGATGGTCTAATAATTCTATGTTTTCTTGCTCTAAAAACTCTTTTGTTCTGTTTGCGGTGTGAGAACTCGCATTGTCGTGATGGAGGATGATGCGGCGGTTGCAGTTCTCTTTACGGAGTTCAGAAACGACCTGTGGCAAACAAATGCTAGCATACCATTCTGGATTAACCATTCTTTAAGAGGTTGTTCCCTTAAGAGGAATAGTCGTAACATGGCCGGTTTTAGAGACAAACGTGGCCACCATTTTTTTTTGCAACAGTCCGTGAACGAACAATTTTTGTTGGTTTTAACTCATTTTCGAACACCCAAACTCGTGACTGGTTTTTTGGTTTCGGGTTCGTACGCATATATCCAGGATTCGTCACCTGATACGATGTTGTATACAGCATTTGAGGATCCTGCGTGGAATTTTTCGAGTTTACGTGCGATCTTCACAGAGCGAATGCGGTATCTACCGGGAAAACAACTTTTTTACACCTAATTGTTCATGCAAGATTATTTGTATTTGACTCATGCCAATGTCTAAAGTTGCCTAAATTTCGCGGTATTTCACATGTCGATCTTCCTCAATCAGCTTACGCACAGCATCAACATTTTCTTGGGTGACTGCAGTTTTTGGACGACCTTGACGGGTATCATCACTGAGCTTGACACGTCCACTTTGAAATTCAGCAAACCAGCGATAAATTGTGGTTTTGGATGTGGCTTCATCACCAAATGCAGAAATCATCCGGTCAACACACTGTTTTTGTGTTAAACCACTTCGAAAGTCATAATAAATCATCGCTATTGAATTTTCTCGAGTCAATTCCATTTTCTCAACGACTAAACAAGTTTGACAAAACCTTGTGACAAGACCGAGAATCTTTTTTTTAATAAACAAATGGTATTCGATATTTTAAAATCAAGGAGTTTTCAATTAAAAATATTTTAATATGACAGGAACGGTGGAAATATTCCATTCCCGATACTTTTAGTGCAGCGTAGGTAATAGTGTTTTTTTAATAGAATAAGGGTGACAAACGAGCACATAGTTCACCTGATGGTAAGTGGATGTTGTGTTATATAGACATCTAAATTTATCCTCGATCGAGAATCAAAATTCAAATTGGTTGTCACACCTGAGGATCAAGATCGAATGCCTTGTTTCCAGTTAAACGGTCTACGGTTTTCTACAACCACCATACGAAACACAGCAGCATTATGATGCTATTTTATGCTGGTATTCTGTGAGAGCGTTGTTCTACCCCTGTCGATCTGACCCATTTGTGTTTCAACCATAATATAGCTGCAACGTGGCTCTATCATTTAGTAAGCTTAGTGTCACACTTATTATGGAAAGTAATAGTTTAAATTCCTAACAGCAGTTAAAGCTCAAAAAGCTATTTGAGAATATTTCCGTCCTTCACACAATCTTATTTATTAAGTTACGACTCCCCAAAAGGATGAGCAAACAGAGGATTATGCAGATGTCTAAGTAAAGCAATTAGCTTTAAAAGGCTAGAGGAGAATATTTAAACAGTCACACGATCTTATAATTTAGAATTTAATTACAACTATCTAAAAGCATCAGCGAATCTAGAATTATTCAAACTCAATGATTTATTAGTAGGTCAATGTTCATACGAATACAATTTATCCTTAACCAGAAATCATAATCAATTTTGAAAAGTCAGAATGTGTCAAAAAAGGCACGTATGGTAATTGACAATGCCGTGTTGGTCCCTACTTTATCGAGTAGAATAAATGCAGTAAAAATGCGGTCGCTAAGGAGTATGTTACGGCTGAATCTGAGTGACAGGGTGAGAAACTGTGTGATAAGAAAAAAATGTGGTATGCAAGATAATGTTGTGACCAGGATTAAGAAAGGAATGCTTTAGTGGTTTGGTTATGTAGAAATAATGAATGGGGAAAGAGTGACAAAGCAAATTTATATTGCAGAAGTGAATGGAAGAGTCAAAAAGCGACGTCCTGGGCGAAAGTTTATCGACGAAATTGGCGATATATTGAAATTGGGCCAAATTAGGAGTACCCTTAACCGACGAGCATGTATGTGTAAGGAATGTGAAGGAGGTGGTAAAGGTGTGTCAGGATCGTGCCAAATGAAAGTCTGTAGTCTTTGCCTACGCCTCTGGGTGACAGGCGTGAATGTTTAAGTTATGTGCAGAAATCATAAGAGTGAGAACTAAACTAACGGCCAGTAGTTTACTATTATTTCTTTTAATAAATTAAAACTTTGATGCTTAAATATCTAAAAACTTTCAATTAAAAGTTTAATATATTGATTGTATAAAAACAAACGGTCTTAGAATTTCTCCTCAAAGGACGTGATCCCTTCCACCAAGTCATTTGTGCCTCTGGTCTCGATCCAGTTGTCTTGCATTCCACTTCATAACTCCTGTCTGCTGAGAGCTGTCGACTTTTGTTCAATATTTGAACGGTAAGTGGCCTTACTGTAACAAAATTGTTCACATTATTTTATCATCAAGCCTTATATGTATGAATAATGTTTGTATAAAGTTTTTGTTAGGTTATTAATGCACCCTTGCGATTCCATTCCATTTATTTTGACATCTTATGTCATCAATTATAACCGTCTTCCATCTAATGATAATAACCACAAAAAATTCACATTCATCGGGCTTAAAACATTTTTATATAATATTTTTTCTGGAATTTGCATTATATAGACATATTTTGTCGGTTTCAGCTTTCAGAATAAGTTGTAAAGAAATTTCACAGCCTGTAAGATGTGCTGATGGGTTTATAAATATTTAGTGGATTTTGGAGACACGAAAGTTCTTACCCTACGCAAATTTTCTAGTGATTACAGCATTGATGCAAGCAACCATTACTTGATCCCTTTTTTATAAAAAGCTTTAGCTAATCCTAAAACGGTTCAGAAGTCGTGAAAAAGTAACATCAAGTTCGCAATAAGTATCAATACAAATTCACTTTTTCGTTAATTTAAATCTCTGGATTATTAAGTTATGGAGTAAATCTGTCATAAAATGCTACATACAAGAAAATATTGCATTGTTCATGCAAGCTATTTTTTTTTTTTTTTATGCAATACTTTTTAGCAACGAGAGGAAATAAATTTGTTTACTATTTTGTAAAGAATAGCGTCAACGCAGTCACGACAATGCTCAAGCAAGGCAATATTATGCCTAGCAACGGATTTGCGTGTTTTCGTTAGATCCTTTTCGGACTTATTTTGTAAATCTCATAGAAAGTATGCCAGAAAGCACAGGCAAACTCAAGATGATTTCATACATAGCTAGTATAAAGAAATTTGTTAGTAGAAGAGTTTTATATGGTTGAGCCACACAAAGTATAAAACTAAACTACCGGAATGATTTTCATAAATTAACAGAACGAATGTTAATTCAAATTTAAAAATAAGTTATTAAATAAAGATTTCTTATATTCACGTGAATATTACACATTAAATGAAACTAATTTTAAGGATATGATCACGTTTAATTTTAATTTACTGAAAAAGTTAGTTACTTTCGTACTGTTTTTAACTATCTGTTTATTTAACGCGATAAAATCATTTAACTTAGTTTGATTTAATATGATCTAATCCCTATTTCTTACGTGTATTTAAAAAAGAGAATATATAAAAATGTTTATTAAGACTTACAATTTATTTCCAATATGAGTAATTTAGTTTGTGGTGGCGCTAGGTTAGTGTTGGACGCTTGACAGATTAACCTTGCGTTTAAATGCTGACGACCGATGCTGGGGAATGTGAGGGTGTTGACTGTTACACCGTCAGTTTGCTGTTCAAATGAATCGTCTATTACTGTGTTCTCCAAGTACCATGTTAGACGTGGCCTCGGGTTACCTGATAATTGAAAATTTCTGTAATGGTAACATACTAATAGAAACAGATCAGCGCTCATAGACTAAACGTTTTCAATCATGATCAATGGTAAGTGAATGCTGTGACCTGTAGACATCTACATCTATCCTCGATTAAGAATCAAAACACAGATGCGATGTCTCCTCAGAGGACTAAAATGGAATGTCTCGATAGAGCCATAGGAAACACGTCAACATTAAGCAGCTATGTCACGTTGAGATTCTGTGCGAGCTTGACCCTTCCCTGGTTGAGTAGACCTATTCGTACTGAAAACATAATATAGCTGCAGTGTGGCTCTACGATTTATAGAAGTGATCCGATTTTGATCTTAATTTTCACATGTTATCATATGATGATTTACAAAATAAACCCCACACTAGCTAAATTGATCCTATATATAAACACTCACGTCTGTCACCCAGAGCGGTAGACAGACTGCGGACTTCCTTTTGGCACGATCCTGACCTACCTCTCTCGCCTTCTTTACAACCATATATTTACGCATACACGCTTACTCCTAATCTGAGCTATTTTCATTATATCGCAAATTAGGTCGATAAACCGTCGTCTAGGGCGTCCCTTCCTGACTCTATCGTTCACGTCTGCAATATTTTGCTTTGTCACTTTTTCCTCGTTTATTCTTTCTACACGACCAAACCACCGAAGCATTCCTTTCTCAACCCTGGTCACAACATCTAATTGAACCTCTTTACTGCATTTTTATTTTTGATCGAGGATAGCAATGTGGTGGACTGTGATCCCGTTTGTAAATTAGAAAACAAATTGCGTAAATAATAAACCTGTAAAGGGGAAACTTTTGAAAAAGAAGTAACAAAGAAATAATAAAATAGAAATAAAAAATAACTTGGCGATTTTTTCAAAAGTAAGCCCCCTTATCAGATTAAATGAGCCAATATTTCAAAAAGTCCAATGTTATAAAAATCTTGGAACTTGATACAATTTTATTTTCTTTTATTGAAATAATTTTTCCTGCTTTTTCTGTGTAGGAAAGTTCAGCCAACGTTCGTTTTACGTTACAACGACAAAATATATTATATTTAGGAAACAACTTTTTAGCTAATGGAAATATATATTGTAACCTAATTATTATCTTATTTCAGATTCTACATATTTTTGTATATTTATATGTATTTATAAGTCCCAACCAGAAGAGAATATAGTACGTGAGGGTAACATAGTCACTTTCTTATAACTCAAAAACTACAGGCTTGTTTGCATAGATGAATTTGTGATAAGATAGCACTTAATGGTCCATCAAATAATAAAGGGTGAAAAGTTCGATGCCTTATTGATGCCATTTTGAGAGTAAGAGATATTATAGTAAATATTTTAGTCGACTTTAGTATGGTGTAGTGTAATTAGTTTTCTTAAGTAGATTTTTGGAAGTATTACTAATTATTGCCAAAGTTTGTTTGTTATTTTTTGTTAATATATTAGTTGTAGTATACAACTTTGTGTTTCTGTCTCTGCCTTTCTCCTAGTTTTGATTTTACAGAGCGGCAAATCTAAAGGTAATATTACCTCACATACCTAATTACAAATTGTCCTATAAATAATAATATTTCTTACATCAGATTAAAACTATTTATACTTTGTTCAAAACAAGACTAAACTTAAAATTTAATGTTAGTAAATACATAAATACAAAAGGGAAAACTAATTTTGTATTAAATATGACAGCGCTGGACACGATATGCATTGTCTTTCAATGCCGCACAATGGCGCAATTAAGTCTTCCCAATATGGTACTAAATAATAAAGTATTAGTTGAGTAAATGCCGTGTAGTGGCGATTAAGAATATCCACTACCCCATATCTTCCCGTGGGTGTCGTAAAATCGACAGAGGTAAACAGGCGGGAGATGGGCAGCAGCATCTTCCTGATAACAGCAACTGTACGAAAATAAAAAACTGCAGTTGCCAACTCGCTCGCCAAGCGTAGCAACTATGGCAATATACCCCCCATGAACAATTACACAAATAGACAGCCCCCAGTCCCCGGCGACCCCGCTATTCCTGGCTACGGTGGCGACCATGGTAACGGCGGGGCAGGGGGTGCTAAGAATCTCCGGTGGAGGTTCGGTTGCCACCTACGACGACTCGACCTGGCAACATTTAACGCACGCACCCTGAAGACTGACGAGAAGATCCTGGAGCTGGAAGAAGAGATAGACAAGTTGCGCTGGAATATTATAGGATTATCCGAGGTCCGAAGAGAGGGGGAGGACACGGTGATTCTCGAATCCGGCAACTTGTTCTATCACCGGGAAGGCGACCATCTGTCCCAAGGAGGTGTCGCATTTATCGTCCACAAGTCTCTCGTCAACAACGGTTTAAAGATTGGGAGTGTGTCGACGAGGGTCGCGTACCTGATACTCAGAATCACCAAACGGTATTCGCTGAAGGTCATACAAGTTTACGCACCAACCTCGGCACATCCCTGTGAGGAGATTGAGGAATTGTATGAGGATATTTCCAAAGCCATGCATTCCTCCAAAACCCACTACACGGTGTTGATGGGAGACTTCAACGCAAAACTAGGCACAAGAGAAAATGGTGAGCTGAAGTTAGGGAAATTTTGAGTAGGGCAACGGAACCGAAGGGGCCAGCAGCTAGCCGACTTTATGGAGAAAGAGGGACTCTTTATGATGAACTCTTTCTTCCAGAAGCGGCCCCACAGGAAGTGGACCTGGTCGAGCCCCGACGGTTCGACAAAAAATGAGATTGACTTCATTATGACGACCAGACGCCAACTGTTCAGTGATGTCTCAGTGATCGCAAGGGTGACAAACTGGCAGCGATAACCGAATGGTTAGAGGCACACTGAACCTAAACGTTAAGTTGGAGAGGTCTCGTCTAATAAAGTCAACGCTCCGTCCCCCTCGTGCTCTAATCCAGAATCCCGAAAACTTTCAGCTCGAGTTACGTAACCGCTTTCAGTGCCTACAAGATTGCAATGCAGTGGACGATATGAATGGCAAGTTCGTGGAAACTGTCCATGCGGTCGGAGCTAAGTTCTGCAAGACCTGCCGCAGAAGCACACAAAAACTCTCCGATCACACTCTTAATCTTATGGCTGTAAGACGGGAGATGAGGCTGCAATCGTCAACAGATTTGACAGCATACAGGCAACTGAACAGACAGATCTCCAAATGCATGCGGCGAGACTTACGCAACTTTAATACTGCTCGTATTAAAGAAGCGATCGAGTGAAACCAGGGCTCCAAAGTCTTTGCCAGAGATCTGTCTGCCAGTAAGAGCCAACTGTCAAAGCTCAAGACTGAGTGTAGCAGCATCGTTCCCGGGACACCTGAGATTTTGAGTGAGATTGAGAGGTTCTATGGGCAGCTGTACACATCATCGTTGGAGCCTGATGGACACGCAAATGTGAGTAACGATCCAAGAGCAAGTCTTATCCGACACTATTCCGATGATATCCCGGACTTCAGTCTAAGCGAGAGTCGAATGGCTCTCCAGCACCTCAAATACGGCAGGGCCCCAGGCGAGGATGGAATTACAGCGGAGCTTCTGAAAGCGGGTGGAACACTGGTACTTACTACTGGTACGTACCGGTGGTACTTGAAGTCCTTCAGAAGCTCTTCAATTCCGTCCTCCATGGTGGCACTACTCCGGAGGCGTGGATCAGAAGTGCGGTAGTCTTGTTCTTTAAGAAAGGCGACAACGCTTTCTTCAAGAACTACAGACCGATTTCCCTTCTGAGCTGCGTCTACGTGCTGTTTCCGAGAGTTATTACGAATCGTCTCGCACTCAGACTCAACGACTTCCAGCCTCCCGAACAAGCCGGTTTCCGAAAAGGCTTCAGTACCATAGACCACATACATACCTTGCGTACAGAATACTGGAGAGTACAATCTGCCACTTTGCCTGGCGTATGTGGACTATGAGAAAGCCTTTGATTCCGTCGAAATTTGGGCGGTGCTACAGTCCTTTCAGCGGTGCCAAGTTGACTGTCGGTATACCGAAGTGCTGAAGTGTTTATACAGTAGGGCTACGATGGCTATCCGAGTACAGAACCAGAGCTCGAAACCTATCCAACTGCAGAGAGGTGTAAGCCAGGGTGACCTTATATCCCCGCAACTCTTCACCGCTGCATGGAAGACGTTTTAAAGCTACTGGACTGGAAAGGATACGGTATTAACATCAATGGTGAGTACATCACTCATCTTCGATTTGCCGACGATATAGTCCTTATGGCAGAATCGCTGGAGGACTTAAGCACTATGCTCAATAACCTCAATAGTGCCTCCCAACGGATAGGTCTTAAGATGAACATGGACAAAACAAAGATTATATTTAATGTCCATGTCACACCTATGCCGGTAGTTGTTGGGAGCACTATGCTCGAAGTTGTTGACGAGTACGTTTACCTGGGACAAATAGTCTGACTAGTTAAGTCTAACTTCGACCGAGAGGTCAATCGACGGATTTAACTCGGCTGGGCAGCTTTCGGGAAATTACGACATATCTTCTCGTCAGTTATACCTCTATCTCTAAAAACTAGATTGTACAACCAGTGCGTGTTGCCAGTGATGACTTACGGATCTCAGACGTGGTCCTTCACTGCTGGCCGTATGAGGACGCTCAAGGTCGCTCAGCGAGCTATGGAGAGGGCTATGCTCGGAGTTTCTCTGCGTGATAGACTCAGAAATGAGGATATCCGCAGTAAAACCATAGTGACCGACATAGCCCAACGGATTAGTAAGCTGAAGTGGCAATGGGCCGGCCATATAGCTCGAAGAACCGATAACCGATGGGGAAGAAAGGTTCTCGAGTGGCAGCCCTCGTACCGGTAGGCGTAGTGTAGGGCGACCCCCCACTAGATGGAGTGACGACCTGGTAAGATATGCAGGAAGTCGATGAATGCAGGTGGCTCAGGACCGTGCTTTGTGGCATTACTTGGGGGAGGCCTATGTTCAGCAGTGGACTTGTGAAGGGCTGTAATGATGATAATGATGATGAATTGAGTAAATGAAGAATAACATTTTATTTACCACCATGAACTTCACAGATAAGTTCCAACGTATCACCTTCGTCATATGGCTCCAAAAGGCGAGTCTGATCTCTTGTTTTGGCATCTATAATCACCGGTCTATTGGGTGGAGCTGTGAATTTAACAACAGTTGTTAGGAATAAAATGCAATATTTTAACAACTAAAAGCTAATTTTAAGTAATCTTTTTATGTAAGGGCCTTCACATCAGATGGAATGACGACCTAATACAATATATAGGATGTCACTGGATACAAGTGTTCATCAGTGGACTTGTACAGGACTGTAATGGTGATGATAACAATAATGATGAAATGAAATGAATGATTTTATTCAACATAAATTAATATATAATCGTCCCTACTATTAAAATGTAATCGTTACCATCAAGTAAAGGCCTTAGTTCAAAGATATCAAAATTTGCTAGAAATATTACGCTTATGGGAGTTGATAATGTATCAAACGCATTCGGAGATTTTACCTCAAAAAAATCTTTTTTTATAGATTTTATTCAATGACATGCCATTGGTTACCATTACCGTTATAGCTGATCAAAATTCCAGTACTGAACATAGACCTCCATAGATTATCTAATAGGGAGAATTTTTGCCATATTTGTCACGCTTACAGTCATTTTGGCAACCGCAGTTTTTTTATTTTGTTTTTATTTGTTATTAGGTACACCGTGGCAATGGGCAAAATCAGGAGGTTTGTTTCCCTCTGTCGCCTCTTCCAATATCCGCGGGATAATATTATGGGGCAGTGGATATTACTGCACCGCTACTGCTTGTGCAATTTCTATATTTATACTGCGTTTGGCAACCGGCCTGTTAAGCATGGCAACTATTTAAAACATCTCCCATTAGCAGAAATGTCGCTCAGGGAGCTATAGAGAAGCCTAGACTCGGAGTTATAGAATTCGTGCTGAAGATTTTTTATTTTTAATATATAATAAGGCTGCAGACGGCATATACTGCGGCTTATAAACACCTGCATCTATCCTCGATTTAGAATCAAAATGTAGATGTGTTATTATTCTCAAGTACCAAGATAAAATGCTTCGTTATCAATCAGTTATCTACACTCACCGTATGAAACACAACAGCATTGAATTGCTATTTTACGTTGGTACTCTGTGAGAGCGAAGTATTCTCCAACCGAATCGACTCATTTGTGCCATTATAGGTGTTGCGTGTCTCTACCATATTAGAAGGTATTCTATACCCTATCCAAAGAGGTGAAACGCATATAAGTATTAAGATGATCGCGGTTTGATGCACAGTTCATACCTCCATAATAGCAAACGCTTTTCAAAGATTTAATCTTATGTATTATAATTTTTCAACTTCTACTGAATATAATGTGAGTAAATGTGAGGTGAACTAGAATAATCAATTTACAGAATCAGGTGAGCAGCAAATGCAAATAATTGATTAAAACTACTTTTACGGATTTTATAGCGTTTATTTTACTTTTAATTACATGTATTTTTAATTTCCGATGTTTCCGGAGCTTTCCAGCACCCATGGTCATGGGGGACTGAGATGACTGACGTCCCGATGATATTGTTAAACCCGGAGTACCTTCAGCTTTTTTAATTGTTGTTTATGGTCCGATCTATGCAAAATGAACTGACTATGTCCTGAGGTCTTGCAGTGGTATGCTTGGGTTTAGTTTTAATTATGATTATAGGATCCCAAGCAGGTGTAGGTACCCAGCCTCCTTCTCCATTGAAATCAGGATGTTTTTTTAATTTCAATAGCCTCACGTATCATCCTTGGTAGGAATCGGTGTTCTTTCGCGAGGATTTGTGGTCTATCAAATCTGATGTAATGGTTGGGGCCGTCTAGGATATGATCACAAACTGCAGACTTCCCGGAACGTTGATGCTTTACATCAGCTATATGTTCTTTTACGCGGGTTCTAATTGATCTTTTTGTTTGTCCTATATAAGAGAGATCACATTCATAATCAAGCTTGTACACTCCTGCATACTGTAGATGAATATGACACTTGACGAATGGTAGGAACTGACTAATCTTCTTCGGCGGCTTGTAGAATGTTCTAATAGAAGCTCGCTTCAAGATGTAGCCAATCTTGTCTGTGACACCTCTGACATATGGTAGTACAGCAGGCACATGCTCGACTGTGGCCGGCTTCACTCGGTCACTGTGACGTAGACGCGGGACCCGAAGCTTGTTGTTGTGCAGAACTTGCTTGACGTGCTGAAGCTCGGCAACCAGGTGTTTGCTGGCACAGATCCCTCGTGCTCTCTGTAACAAAGATTTGGCCACGGTAGCTAACTGTGAAGTATGGTGGTGAGATTCACCGTTTAAATATCAGTTTGTATGGGTCCTTTTCCTACATACAGTGTGACCAATGGTATTGTTAGGATTTCGGATGACTAACACATCTAGGAAAGCTAAGGAATTATTTGCCTTTAACTCCATAGTAAATTAAATTTTAGAGTTTATGGAATTAAGATGTTCTAAAAATGCAGTTACTTTGTCTGATGGTAAAATTGTGAAGGTATCGTTTACGTACCGCTTGTAGATCCTTGGTATAACAGGTGCAGCTTTCTCCTCAAAGTCTTCCATGAATATATCGGCGACAATGGGAGATACAGGTGAGCCCATCGCAACACCATCTACTTGCTTGTAAAACTCTTCCTTCCACAATAGATAGCCAGATGTAAGGCAATGTCTGAGTAATACTGCATATTCTGCTGGCATGTTATTTTCCTCTAGTTTTCTAGTTATAATTGAGATGCAGTCTTCAACAGGTAGGCATGTAAATAGAGACTGAACATCAAAACTGACCATGGTTTCATTGTCAGTAAGACGTAGGTATTTTATCTCACTGACAAAACGGTATGAATCCTTAGTGTGTGCTCTTATGTGTCCTTTGAGTGGTGATAATATTTTAGCTAAGTATTGAGCCAATCTGTAAGTTGGCGAATCAATCTGACTCACTATTGGACGTAATTGAGTGTTCGGTTTGTGTATTTTTGGTAACCCATACAACTTCGGTGGTTTGGCACATGAAGGTATTGTCGAATTAACGTCCAGATTTTATTTCTCGGAGTATTTCTTTATTAGATCGCTAGTTGTTTTAAGCGTATTAGTTGTAGGGTCTGTTTTGACCTTTCGGTATGTAGTTTCATCCGACAAAAGTTGTTGTATTTTAAAATTGTAATCTGACGTATCCATTATAACCGTAGCATTACCTTTATGTGCGCAGAGAATCGTAAGCTCTGGTCTGTTGCGTAAGTTTTTCAACGCGTTAAATTCATTTTTGGGAAGATTTAATTTTTGGCGCTGAACTTCGACGTAACATAGACGAAATGTCTTGACGTATGGCCTCTAAATCTTCATTATCAATATTATTTTTATACAGACAGTCCTCAACACTACAGATAATGTCCTCATATGGTATTTTTCGCGGTGTTATTGTGAAATTCATACCTTTTCCTAAAACTTTTATTGTGGCGTCGTCCAGTGTTTATTTTGATAAGTTGTAGACAGCGCGTTGTTTATGATTCCTGACTGTGGTCAACAATTTCGTATGTTGGACATATGATTTAGTTGTTAATTCATGGTATTTATCAATATGTTTATTTTTGCATTCGTTGTGTTTAGTTGTTTCGCGTTTATCTAAAGTTTCCATGCAATTTTAATAATAAAATGCCGATAAAATAGTCTTTAATTCACTGGACGAATTGTCTATGGTTTTGTTTATGAAATATAGATCGGTACGTTTTTGCTGAATCACCGTTATTAACAACTTTTTACTAGCCTGATTTAAGATCTTAGCGCTTCCTCGAATGTCTTTTTTTAGTGGATATCTTGACACACGTAGAAATGAGATTATGATCTCAAGAAATTTAAAGATGTTATGTGTCTTGCGCGCTTGGTCTTTAGATCTTCTAATTAAAAATAAAAGTAATTAAAAGTAAAATAATCGGGATAAAATCCGTAAAAGTAGTTTTGATCAATGTCTAGTGTTCACGTAAATATAACAAAGTAATACGAATAAATAATCATTACGGGGGACATTTGTCTACATTTAGAATAATAGAGTTGTCGTTTGTTTATATTAATGTATTTATTCACTCTTTAAAATATATTTACTTAAACTGTTTCAAGTATTTGTCAAGCAAGCTAATAAACATTCTAGATATTAGAACTATTTATATTCATGAATCCATCCACTCTCTTCACTAGTAACGTATATGATTTACATAGGTACGTAAAAGGACGACAGAATATAGTTTTTGATGAATAGTTTTATTATATCAATAATTGTTGAGGTTGTGCTATAATTCTATATCAATATTAATTTATTCCAGTTGTATATTGACAAGTCACGGTTTTCAACTTATGATCTGGATGTGGTATTTGATTTACACAGAATTATCATTTAGTATACAAATATATATATATATATATATATATATATATATATATATATATATATATAGTAGCACAAAAATATTTAACATAACTTAAACCTTCGTTGCACGCTATACACAATAATTAAATTACTCACAAATTCAATCAAAGGTTTTAAGTAAAAATATAATAAATAAAAAATAATAATAAATAGTTACAATGTCTACAAAAATGTATCTTTGTACGAACCAAATAGGTTTATTCAGCTTTAGTCCGAAGTATTTACACCAGTTGAAACAATACTATGTTCGTTTACTATCATTTTTGCGAAGAGTGAATTTAAAATAGCGAAGCCTGTGCCCTTCGATCCTGAATTGTAAAGGGACACTGGTTGAAAGAAAGGGCGTTCGTTAAAATAAATTGCACGCCTACCTTATCACCACCATCCTCGCAGATCTTCCACGCTCCGGAGACAGGTTTTGCTAAGTCGTAAACAAGTTAACGCTTATTCCTTTCTTTTGCGGACACAAAACTTCACTACTTTAATATGCTTAAGTATAAGTACGCGGCGCGGTTTCTTCTCCTGCGATTACTGATTCGTGAGACAGTTCTCAGCGGTATGATCTACATATAGTAGGCGTGCGGTTGAGGGGGAAACGAACGCCCGAAATATGAATATGAATTTAGAAGGTAGATTTAGAAAAAATGCATTGTATAAAATAAACTAGATGGCGCCAACAATCATAATATAAATGTATTTTTCTTACGTCGTTTTATTTATACATATTATGTAGATGTTTATTATATGATTATATAAAATAAAAGTGTAAAATAAAATCGTACTAGTAATATATAAGTCAATGAGAATAAAATGCTGTTGAGGATCAGTCAAAAACACATTTGGGTAAGAAAAATTGTCCGTATATTTACCATCAATTTTACAGAGTATTTTTATATCAAAAGTTGGACCAGTTATCATCCATCAGACAATGGAACTATCAATAATGTTCACAGATTATGTCAAATAAAATTAGTTCACCTTACTTATATAAAAGTTATAAGCTAAGCTTTGAACACTCTCAGGGGGTGATCAGGTATAAGTAAACTAATTTTATTTGACAAAATCTGCAAACATTGTTGATAGTTCCACCTCCTTACATAGGGCTCCTTTAACTTTCAACTAAATGCATTTACTTCTAAGATTACTTTTGAGTTGAATATTCATATTTAATCCTTATAATATCCTATTATTTTTCTATTTTATGATAACCTCACACACAATTTACATTTGAATTTCTTTTTCTTGCTTGAGACAGTTATTATCAATTAATGTAACATATATGTTATATATTTTGTTGCCCTTATGAAGTTTTTTCGTTCAAATATATTTCACATCTATCGTTATTTTTAATTGCTAAAAGTGATAATTTTTTCGATATTATATGTACGATTTTTATAATTTCTATGTCTTAGAAAAGCTATAATTTAGTGATTTGAGTCATATATTCTGCAATAATGCTAATAAATATATCTTTTTATTTCATAATAAAGTTACAAAAATCAGCCTTATTTAAAGCAAAGAAACTATAGTATAATCGGATTCAATTATGATCTGTGGAATAGATTTGTGTTAGTTAGGCTGTAGGTATTACTATAATGATACCAAGTTATTTAAAATGCAGAAGGGATCATTATTTAATAAGAACTTGCGTTAGATAAATCCTCAATTTAGAATAAGTCATCATAGCTTTGGTTTAAGGAACGTTTGCAAGAAATTAACCAAATATTTAAAATAAAGTTTGTCATTATCAATTGATATGGACAACGATTAATGGCGGCGATGGCTAAACAAGGAAATCTAAGCACAACTTTCTTAAGATCAAATGTATCTAAATATTATAATATTTTTGCGTAAATGGCACTTTAATCTGATCTTTGTGGTGATTCTTAGAACTAAAGTCTTTAGGATATTGAATTAGTAATTTCAAACAAAAAACATTTCTAATATTGAAGTATAAAGTTTCATCAAAAGGCAACAATTCAACAATTTATAAAACTTCGGCTTAAATAGACATAATGTAAAAAACTTGGAAAGTGTTGTACAATAATATATGATATCTTTGTTGATAATTTACTCATAAACTGTATTTCTCAATGTTGGTTACTTCTGGGAAAGGCATGTCAAGGTTGGTTAAATTTGAGTACACTAAGTATTAATACTATTACTTACTATTATATAAAGGTTGTATTCTATGACTAGAAGGGCGTATAGATATGCTTAATTTTTTTTAATAGTACAAGTGTATATGTCCAGTTTCATGAACTAACAAATCGCTTTTAAATGTTTCTCAATCAAAAGTATTTTTCCTCCAAAGCAATCTCAAATTAACAAAGGAAATAAAAATAAATGGCTATTGTTAGGGAGTTAACGTATATTTTTGATCATTCCCCTTCTGCCGTTTCGATTGGCCGCTGAAATACTTAAGAAATGTAATTTCCTCAAAATATTATTAGAAACGATCTCCTGTAATGTTCTTTGCACAACGGCCGATCATAGCAATAACGAACACTCTTACCACGTTGATTCAGTTTTGACTGTTCGATTATTTTGACTGCAACAGTACTGTTATTGATTCAACTTCAGTTTTTTTTTTTTTCATTACTGGAGATAAGCCCCGGATTTTCTGAGTATGATCTATTAGCGTGGTGTTATTTTAATTTAATCAACTCATATTAAACAGTTTTTTGTTTTCTCAAAAATAGTCTAAGTTTTTCGGATAATATATTGCCTAAATAACTTCCGGCATTGTTCTCTATTTTTTTATAAAGCTTGATTAACAAACACGTACAAAATTAACAAAAAAATATTAATCCTCCCGTCTCTGTTGTAGGTATTTATGCTTGGAATTAACGAGTTGGTTATAACGCCACCTATCGGAAGCTTTAAAATCTTTTTCCAAACCCCATAGGAGGCTTTTATTGAAATCACAGCAAGTTATGGATTTTTGTTTACTCACTTATTACAGTAAAGTTGAGCCTGAGATTTCTAGTAGGTGAGTTCTTGAAATCAACCCTGCAGCGATAGACACCGGCATCAGTTGTAAATACATTATCCAACAAAAGAGTGGCTGGTATAGCTGCAGCGCGAAAATATGCTCGAGATCCAAATCCCGAAGGCGATGACCAGAGTTTAGGTTGTGTTAAAGCCCGACCTCGGACATCGTAACTGTAATATATGGTCTTGTTGAAATAAAGTAAAAACTAAAATTATGACACGGTACTACTCTCTCCTTAGTATAGTACTAAAAACTCAGTGCATTTGTTTCCCACTAAAGAAAGGAACCAACCCTCTTGTCACGCGCGGTGTCGACCAGGTCCGGCTACAGTTATTTTAAAAACATACAAAAATACAAAAACACTGACATATGTAATACAATAGCACAAATACATAGCCATCTCTCAGATGCAGACATTAAGTTTGTTATTGATAATTATATTATACAAGCTCTATTATATTATGTTATACTGCTTTGCTGGTCTAGTGGTTGTAGTAGTGCGACTGCGGATCTTGAGGACCTGGGTTTCAATCCCGGGTCGGGTCAAAAAAATTAATTATAGAGTTTTTTCGTCCGGGAATTCTCAGTAAAAGCACGTAAAGCGCCTGATCTCTCTCCGGTCGTGACGATTTACCGTCCCATCGGATTATGAAAGTGAGTGAATAGAGAGTGCACCTGTGCTTGCGCATACACTTGGCCACTATAATCCTGTCCTGCGCCGATGGTTAGCCTCCGTTAAGGCAGGCCGACGTGGCTGGAATTCGATCTGGAGGACTTTATTATTATGATACGAGCTCTAGCAATAAACCCAGCGGGATTTTTTAAAATAAATTTTACAATGTTAATGTTTACAAAATATTTACAAAATGTATTATATAAACAGAGTGGAAGCGACCACCTCATTGCCAGGGACTATTATGAACCATGTATTCATTTATGTAATAATAAACCTTTTTATACTATTTTTGTTTAATTAAATATTTAAACTTGGTAATAGAGAGACCTTGTATTACTTCATATCCTTAGCGGTTGAATTTTTCAAAATCCCTTCTTAATGGTTTTCTATGTCGAGAAAGGAGTACATATATGCCACATTTCAAGTTGATCTGGCGAATAGTTTTGGAGATCTCGTGATGAATGAGTCAGTTTTATTTTGCTTACATATTTCAACAATTCGCTTAATCTCGACATTTTTCCGACAAAATATGACCTAGATCCCTCATAGCACTGCTCTCTATAGGTTCTTAAAATTTCATTACAATCGGTTCAACCATTTCTAAGATTGTCCCGGTAAAACAGACAGATATAAATTTTAAAAACGGTTATTAGTATCGTAGTAGCATGCAAACTACCCCCTGAGTTCTGAAGACAATTATTACAATGTTAGAGACAAACGCCAGCACCAATGAAATTGTTAATTGCAATTTTAATTGCTGATATACCACGTGCTCGGCGGTGAAGGAAAACATCGTGAGGAAACCTGCATGTCTGAGGAATAAGAAAAAAATATTTCGAAGACATGTGAAGTTCGCCAACACGCATTGGGGCAGCGCGGCGGACACTTCCTTGCCCTAAAACCCTCTCAGAAATGAGGGAAGGCCTGTGCCCAGCAGTGGGACGTATATAGGCTGTAACTTTACTTTACTAACTTTTTACAGACAAACACTTATATTTTATTTATATATGTGTGTACACAATTATATAAAGAAAATATAATAATACATGTATAGATTAGGAAAACATGACAAATTTTAATAAATATTAATATTTGCAAGACTTTTTCGACTCGATAGCGCCATTGCGCAATGGATCAAAACCCAGAACAATATTACTTTGTACTTAGCTATCAAAATGAGACTATTCTGGTTCTTGATCCATTTTTTTAGTTTGTCCATATATTTTAATCTTAATGTAGGTAAGGCAGGGATGTAACCTTTAATAAAATATTTACCTTTAAAGGAACTTTACCTGTAGAGTGGTTCACCGTCAGATTCTTTAAACCAGAGCACCATTGCCACTTGGTCATCGGACGACAACGGTTGTGTGTCACACGGTAAAGAGGCCTTCTTCCCCACAACTCCTTGCACGTGAACCGTTGGAACTGCAATCAAACGCCCTGTGTTTTAATAAAGTATTTTATTAAGTAGAGCAACGCTGTAGCTATATTATACCATGATTGTAGCTGCACGAATGCGTAGGCTCGACCGGGGTCAGCTTAATGCTGCAAAGTTTCAAACGGTGAGACCCTTGTTACTGAAAACGAGTCATTCCATCTTAGTCTCAGGGGTGACAACGCATCTTGATTCTTAATCGAGGATAAATCTCTATGGGTTTCAGGATCCACTTACTATCAAGTGGAATTTGAGCTCGTTTGTCATCCTTATTCTATAATTCTTGTAAGCACTCGCACACACCATCAGAAGGGTAGATCGAATGAAATAATTTACAAGTTATAATATACAAGTTGACGTCTCAACAGCGACGTTACTCCCCCAAGCGTATCAATCGCACGGTGTCGTGTTTCGGAACCGGACGGACTCCGCTCTACGACACGCTTCTTAGATTACGAGACTGTGCTTTTGAACACTTGATACACATGCTGTTCAAAGTTCTACTGAATAAAATAGTTTTTTTTTTCACATTGACGTTAATAGGTACCTACGGCACATAATATTACCTCGTTTTTACTAATTCGATTTCTTATTTGTTTATTTGTTTGCCTATACGATAAAAATTTGGCAATGTATACTTTACATCTGGGAATTGGAGTAGCGTGGAGGGTGCGAGACGTCTGGTACTGACCTACAACTCGCCTGCTAAGTATGGTGATTATAACAAATCCTGCAAAAGGGAGAAGGCCATGTCCAACAGAGGCTTTAATGAGCTGACGAAGGAGAAGAATAATTTTCAAATAGTGCAGGAATATTTTTTTGGAACTGAAACTTATTTATCGACGTTGTTTTACGAGGGTGGATTGAAAAGTACTCGGCCTAACCAAGAAAATAAACACATACTAAATCAGTTATATTTTTATTTTTCTACATAATCACCATCAAGTTCAATACACTTTTGCCACCTCCCCTTCCAAGCATTTAGACCGTTGAAAAAAAATGATTCTTCCTTAGAGTCAAAATATGCGTCTACAGCTGCTTTGACCTCGTCGTTTGTCGAAAATCTTTGATCTCCCAAGTGCTTTTTTAGGTTAGGGAACAGAAAGAAGTCTGATGGTGCCAGATCAGGTGAATACGGCGGATGCGGTAACAGTTCAAAGCCACAGTTGTGAATTTCAGCCATTGACTGTACTGACGTGTGAACACGGGCGTTATCTTGATGAAACAGGACTTTTCTTCTGAGCATTCCTCGACGTTTTTCTTTTATTTCCTCTCGTAAACGACGTAGTAAGGTGCAGTAGTAATCAGAGTTTATAGTCTGACCCCTTTCAAGATAATCAATCATAATCACACCTTTCGAGTCCCAGAATACTGAAGCCATCACCTTATTTGCCGACAAAATCGACTTAGCCTTTTTTAGGGGGTGGTGAACCAGGTCTTCTCCACTGTTTTGATTGTTGTTTTGTTTCCGGTGTACAGTAATGAACCCATGTTTCGTCCATAGTAACAAAACGATTCAAAAAATCATCTGCATCGGCTTCAAATAACTCCAAACAGTCGCGTGAAATAGTAAATCGCGTCCTTTTTTGTTCAACTGAAAGCAGTCGCGGAACCCACCTCGCAGACACCTTGTGGAAACCCAACTCGTTGACAATGATGTTTTGAGTTCATTCATAAGAGATGCCTATAATCTCGGCTATCTCTCTAATTTTTAATCTGCGGTCTCCCATTATTAAATCAAGTACTTTTTTAATATTTTCGTCAGTAGTTGACGTCGAAGGCCTTCCAGAGCGGGGTTCATCTTTCACACTCTCTCTACCACGCTTAAATTCTGCTATCCATTTTTTGACGGATGAATATGACAGAACACAATCGCTTAATGTACTGACCATGTCATCATGGATGGCTTTTGATGATAGCCCCTTCTTATGGAGGTACTTAATGACGGCACGCTGCTCGATTTGGTCCATTCGCGGAAATTATGTCCGATTACTTTGTTAATAAATTTATAAAATCACAACTAATTATCGCACACGTTTCGAACTTCACACAATGAACTAGTCTGAACTAAACTAAATAATGTGGGTAGATTTGATTTTTAGAATTGAATGGATCTGTGTTAGGCCGAGTACTTTTGAAAGTTTTCTTGGTTCATCACCGGGTTTGCATGAGTACACCATTATTTAACCTACTTATGTAAAACATACAATAAAAGAAGAATGATATGCCACAAAGAAGTTTCACTTTATTCGTCTGCTGTATAGGTAATATTTGTATCGAACCAATGCCAGTTTTAAAAAACATTAACCGCATCTTATAAGGAACTATTTGTGTCCTTGGTATCTCAATTGTGTAGCACTGATGTGTAATGTGCTATGTACAACTTTAGGAAACAGCTTTTGCATTAAATTTCGTAAAAAGTGAAAGTAAAATTAACAGCCCATAGATGTTTTACTGTAGTAAGGCAAGTACTTCAGCTATATTACGGTTTGACCCTTCAATCACCATAAAATTCCCGTGCAGTCACATGTGCCTGGCAAATCCCGAGCGGTCGCTTGCGACCACACCCACCCACAGCACTTAAAACCCTTAATACTTAATTTTAAAGACTACTTTTCTATGAAGAAGTTTGGCATTATAAAATCTATACAAAATTTTCTATCCTATGGTCTAAACAAAAGTCAGGTTTTACTTCATTACAAAAACGCTTTATTGTATTTTGATAATAAAAAAAACATACCAAGCGAATGGGCAGCGTGAAAATCACAATTATTTCTATATATTACTCGAAATTATTTACGTAAAATAATAAATTATATTTACACAATTACTTTTACAACAATTTTATAATAAAACTATAGTAAAACGCTAATAAAACACTAGAAAAATCCAAAAATTAACACAAAAACATCCAAATCAAAATGGCGTACGTAATGAATGTAGAATATAAATTAATATCCATAGAACTGTTTTTTTTCTTTCTGTTTTTTATTCCATCAGAGGATAGAAAATTCTATATTGATTCTATAATGCCACACTTCTTCTTTGCAAAAGCCTCTAAATATAAGTTTTATGGATTGAAGTGATGTGGGACGGTGCGGTCATATTTGACCGCTTGAATTTTGACGGAATATCGGAGCGGTCAAATTTGGACGCTTGGCGTTTGAGAGGTTAAGGACAAATGGGTTGGCTCTGCTGGGAAAGGACTACGCTATCCCAAAATGTCAGCGTGAAATAATTTTGCAATGTTTCGTGTTTCGTATTTCGTATTCGTATACAGAACCGGAAACATTTTTTACCGAAAACGAGGCATTCCATTTTAGTCCTCAAGGATGATAACGTATCTGCATTTTGATTCTTAATCGAGGATAAATGTAGACGTTTACGTATCAAAGCATCCACTTACTATCAAATGGTGCCTGTTTATTACCCTAATTTGATAAAAAAAGATTTTCCACTGCTAAGCACAGGCCCTTTCAGGAGTTCGAATTATTTCTTCATAACATTTTACCTCAGATATGCAGGTTTCCTCACCAGTATTTTCGTTTACCGCCGAGCTCTTGGTTAATCGGCATTTAAAATTGTAAGTTACGATTCCACTGTAGGTTATGGGGTTTGAACTAAGATTGTTCGTAACAATAAAAATTACGGTAAGTGGTAAGCCCCTTTTACCACGGCTCCCTCTAATGAGAAAAAGTTTTTCTTTGACAAAATTAGTGTAAATTGCTCAAGTTTAAATACTTCCATTATTCAAACGTATAACGTACTTGCTAACTTTAAAGTAAGTTGGAGTAGCACTTATGAACTGGGGTGAAAATTTTACTTCGTCTAATTCCAAGATCCAACGCGGCTGAAATAATTACCTTATAACTTTATCGTAAGGACTAAGTAAAATTAGGTTAATTGAAGACAAAGCAGATCGAATCAAATAATTTCATGCAAATGCAGAAGCAACAGCTGCTTGGTCTCAATTTAAGGAATCACAAATTGGTATAATTATACCACCTGAAAGTCCGCTTGATTTTTTGTATGAATTATTTTGCGACTTGAATTGACCGCAATTGATTAAATGATTAATTCCAAATGGGAAATCAAATGATTCATTGCGCTTGACGGAGTTCTCGTTAAAGCAAAATTCTTTTTTTCAAAGAATTTATATTTTATTAATAACGAATTTTATCTCCAAATTAAATAGCATAGATTTTTGTGAATGACGAATCTTTTGAGATAAAACATTAACTGATTATCCTTGGACTAAAATTTCACTTGGCGTAAACAAGATGGTTACACTGCCTTTCATTGACAGCAAATCTTTCTGGCAATCGGAATATGCTTGGTAGTCGGATAAGCAATCTCAGATCGAGAAAAAAAAAGATAGAGTAGAATAATTTTTATTAAATAATGATTATAAGAATGCTTATTGAAAGTCATTTAAGCTTTACAACTGGTTTGGAAAAATCCTTTTTTATGGGAATAACCAGCAAAAACCCCAACGGGATTTTTTCAGACATCAATTTACAGTAAAATAAATTATAAATTAACTATACTATTATAAACTAACTAGTTTTCTGGCCCTTGTTTTAAAAACGTATGCATTGCTTCATCAAGCAATTACTGATTCTGCAGTCAAATAGCTGGTATAACTAGCTAGTGTTTGTTTCGAGTATTTACTTAATGATCATCAATGTTTTGCTTTTGTGTAAAAAGGTTAAAATTACATAACATACTGACAGGCTAAACTGAATATATTTATTTCTTTATTTTTTTCTCTTATAGACCTACGGATGGAACCTTAGTAGATGTAATAAAAAAAAAATTACTGAAAACGATGAACTGAAAATATATTACGAGCATATTTTGTTTCGCTAACTCTTTGAACGTGATGATTTCTTATATTTAGCGAGCACTACACATTGCAATTAAACTAATTTTTACGGATTTTATCAATATACTCACTTTTTATGTTTAAGACGATTCTAGTTAATATACG